CGGAGTGTGGGATGCCTATGGTCAGCGTGCCATGGAAGTCCGACTTGCACGTCGGAAGTGACCCGCACGGGCATATGTGATATGGGGGTGGATCCAATGACATGTACATGAATGCAATATGATGTGTGTGACATATGTGATACATGATTAGTCATGGCCACGGGCTGGTTTCGGCCCGGAACCGGCCCGGTCAAACCCGGGCCCGGCCCGTTGACCGGGCCCGCGGTTCGGAATCGGAACCAGCCCGTGGCCTACGGGCCCGGTTCCGGTTCAAGAAATTTTGGAACCGGCGGTTCCGGGCCCGGTTCCAAAAAAAAAAAAAAACCCTGCAGTAGTGATTGTCGTGACCTCCCCGAACTGGCCCAGCCGCCTAAGGTGTTTGGCTAATGGATTACTAAGTTAAACCTAACTCGAGCTCTCACAAGCTCATACCAATTCGCGACTTAAGTTGAAGTTATTAACATGAAAATCAATTTCACCTAGGAGTCGCCACTAGCCATGATCAAGGGTTGGCTAGAAACCCTGATCGAGACGCGGAAGTGTCGTCTCGATACATGCGAAAACCAGAGATTCCAAAATTCGGAGACTTGATTACACTAGCAATTTAACTAGTGCCCTTTCGGTACCTAAACTTGAATGTTCGCAAACTAACGTACATGGCAGCCTATCGAAAAAGCTAATATTCCACTTAACCGTTCTAAAAATAGAAAATAACAATCAATGTATTTAAAGTGCACAACCAAAATAAACAATCAGCAACCTATCATCGTCTCTAGAAAGGAAAAGGCAATCAAAAGCCCCAAGGTAAAGCCCTAATGGCTTGTCCAATTTTTGAGAATTTTTTAAAGAATTTTCTCAATTTTTACGAATTTTAAACTAAGCCCAGAATGAAATTAAAACTAATATCTAGTGAAATCAAGCCCAAAAAGTGATTTTTGAACATTTCCTAATTTTCTGAATTTTAAAAAAAAAATTTTAGATTTTTTTAGATTCTTGGGTTTTTTAAACATTTTCGAATTTTTTTGGAATTTTTAATATTTTTTGAATTTTCAAATATTTTTTTTAATGCTTTTATTAATAAAATAAGGATTCGGACCGGATCCCCTGACCCGATCCGACCCTACCCGGGACCCCATTTTCATTCCTTTTCAATTTTTTTTCTTTTGATTTTTCCCTTTTTCTTTTTCCTTTTTCTTTTGTTTCTTTTCTGTTTTTATTCTCTATTTTTTATTACTTTCTTCATCCCCTGCACGCCTTTTGCCCATGCACGTGAACTTCTTCAAGAACTCTTTCACCGGGAGCTCTTCATACCGTGACTGGGATTTCGCCGAACGCTTCTCAACCCCGACCGCCGGCCGTCGGCTCGGGCCACCAGCGCCGACGACCGATGCTGGCCTTACGCTGTCACCGCCGGCCGACGCTCCGGAGACCACTCCGACGACAACAAAAACACACCCTCCCCCCGCCGACGACCAAAACTCACCTCCCGAACTCATACCACAAACTGGAAAATAAACAAGCATACACATACTAAAACGAGGAGGAATGGGCTGACTAAGGCGGCCTCAAACCGCGGGCTTCGTAGGCGCGAGTGGAACGTCTCCGGCGAAGGTATGCATATGCGAAGCCGACTCGGACGATTCGCGAACGTGAACGTAGGAAAAACGCAAGAGGAAGTGTTGATTCAATGGATACAAGTACTAAACAAACGCAAAAACCGGGATCTAGACACTGGTTTCACATAAAAAAATTCATTCAGACGTTTCATTCGAGCATGTGATGTGCAAATTCGGACATGTGCTCTTGCGTGAGATTTGATGCGGTTTTTGACTCAAATGTGATGTATAAAGATCTAAACGACCATCTTTGCAACAAAAGGACTTTGGTTTGCGTAGAAACGATCCCAAAGAATACAGGGCCAGATTTCGGGGTTCTAGGCTCAAAGAGGCTCATTGAGGCATTTTATCGAGCAAGTGCTGTGCGACTTGAGTAAGGGCTCCAGATCTGAGTTTTATGCAATTTTTCGGTTCATACGGAGTGTATTAGGCTCTAAATCTACCTTGCTAGTCACAAAATAGCCTTGGACTCAAGTGGACTCGTCGAAGAAGTTCGGCATCTTAAACTCAGCCAAAACAGGGTAAAAAAAAAGGGATATTGAGGAGAGGAATTACCAGTCAGAAATGGAACGGAAATCGTAGTCGACGTGAACGGGAACGGCGACGACTGGACGGTTCCGCGGAGGCTCAGACGCTCGTATCGTTGTTTCGAGGAACAAGAAGCTCGTGCCGAAAAGCTTCCGATTTCCGGCTCAACTTCCGGCGTGGATTGATGGGTCGGCACACCGAGAAGAGGGAGGGGATTTGCCGGCACTCCTGAGCTCAGGGGCCGGAGCGCTCCCCTCTCAAAAACCTCTTCCGGCTCCCGGTCACTCCCCTTGTAGCTTCCTCCCTTTGTTTTTCTCTCACGGTTTCACCTCTGTTCTCTCTTTTTTTTTCGCACTCCCCCCTTGGTCTGTCTCTCTGTTCTCTCCCTTTCTTCCTCCCGTCTCTCCTCTTGCTCTGTGCCTTCCCCTCTCTCCCTCTGAACTCTCCCCCTGCATGCCTCTGTGTTCTCTCGCTCTCTTTAAGCTCTCCTCTGCGCGTACAGATTGCAGGTTTTCCTTTTTCGTGTGAATGTCGACGGAGAGCAGAGAGATAGTAAGAAAGGCGCGCCCCTCAGTCCCTGGAAGAGCTCTCCCTCTTGACTCTTCCTTTTTATCTTTTCCTTCCTCCTCCCTTCGTTCTCCTCTGGCTTCTTTTTTTTTTTTTTTTTTTTTCTATTCTCGTTCCTTTTTTGGTTTGTGCATAACCCCTCTTTTTCGTCCTCTTCCCCCTTTTTCTTCTTTTTCGCAAGTGTCAGAGGGAGAGTCACGGGGAAGAGCTCCCCTTTGTCTTCTCTCTCTTTTCTTTTTTTTTTTTATAAATATTTTTTTTCAATTTTTTAATTTTTTTAAATTATTTTAAATAAATAAAAATAAAAAAGAAGTAAAATAAAGAGAAAATATGTTTCACTAAATCTATTAATGCAAATGCGCCTAATGTCTACATGTCATAAAATTTAAAGAAAATATTTTTGGTTTAGGGGTTAAAAAATTAAAACCTAATTTTTATGCGATAAAACCCTAAATGAATAGGCAAATTTTAGGTGTCAACAGTGATAAAGAAGCAGTAGCAGCAGCGGAGGGAATGAAAGAAGGGGAGAAAAGGGAGAAGACCCACAGACAGATCTGCGTCAAAGATCGGTCTGGGAGAAAAGCATAGAAAAATGGAGAGGTGGTAGGTAGTGTGGTGGGAGGAGTGTCTTCTCTCTCTCTCTCTCTTCCCTCGCTGATGATGGAGGGCTGGCTCTTTCTTTATGCCTTCGATGGAGGAGGAGGAGGAAGAAGACGATGGAGGATGATGATGATTTGGAGGGGTGGTGGGTATGGGAGATGCTTTGCTTCGCTGAGTAGAGAGAGAGGGATGGAGGAGTCAAAGGTGAGGGAATTGTATAATGGTGTGTGGTTGGACTGATGTTTGGGGGGAGGAGGCGTACGAAGGAGCGTCGGGTGGATGACAGTGCCCAGTCCAACTTACCGACAGCGACGCTCCGACCTCTCCCCTGCACTTCCTCCGGTCCTCCCTTTTCTCCTCCGCCCGCCCCCCGTCTTCCCAGATCTGACCCTCGCCGCCATCGCCGCCGTCGCCCCCGCCCATGGCCGCAGCCGCCGCCGCCGACGCCCCCTCCTCCTCCCCCCTCGCTACCCTGCGCCTCCTCTCCTTTTCTCCTCCTCCCCCTCGAACCGGAACCGGCCGGAACCGGAATCGGCCCGAAATCGCCGGTTCATACATGGCCACGAACCGGAACCACCGGTTCCTGAACCGTGGCCATGACTATACATGATTGTTTGATGCACATGATTTTCAAAGGAAATACCAATTTTACTTGTTTGTCTAAAATGTACTTCATGTAAGTGTGTCCTAGGAATCGAGAATATGTTAGATAGGTCGGTTTATGAACTTGTTTCATCTCTTGTTGAGCATTAGCTCACTCCTGTTGATATTCATTTTTACAAATTTTTAGACATGCCATCGATCTCTTATCCTGGTAATGACAATAGTGATGATGGTGGTGACGGCGAGTAATGGGGTGGAGTTGTGGATGTTGCTTTATATAGTGGAATTATTTTGGTGACACGGTCGTTACTTTTTGGCTATGACTGTGGGAATAGATGATTGGAGATAGAGGAAACTATGGGTTTCACTTGGATGGCATTAGGGGAGTAGGACACCATTTTGACCTGCCAGATGTAGTCTTTTGCTATCGTGTTTAAAGATGATGTCGTCCAAATCACCATTGTATATGAATCCAAATATTAAATGAAGATGTGGTATTTGCATGTCGTGTGTGTGTCTACTAAATGAGAAATGTTTACTTTGATTGCGTATTGTCTTCCGCTTATGCCATAAGTGAAAAGACTAAAGAACGCCTTAGTACATGACGCTCTGGGACGTCACACCGACACTGGCCTCGAGAGAGCCTCGCTGCCGCTGGCCACTGACGAGGGTGAGGCTCGACCTCACTGGCCCTCCCCTCGGGCCAGCTGCCAAGGCCCGATGACCAGTTGGAGGAGGAAGAAGGGGTAGAGAAAAAAATAAAAATCAAAAAATGAATAAAAAAATAAAAAAATAAAAAAAATATTATTAAAAATTATCCACGTAAATCGGGTGGCATCCACGTAAGCACTTTTTGCATAATTTTCCCCTGTGATGATGGCAGCATTAAGCAGAGATTTCAGCCCATGAAAGCAGTTGATCACGGTCCATGAGGAAGGCCCAGGCTCCCGATCGATCTTGACCCGAGACCAGATGTTTCTCCATTATACCAGAAAATAGAAACAGAAACTTCCATTTGAGAATATCTCAAAAGCTCATGAAAGTACGAGAAACCTCCTCTGCCTACTATAAATAGCCCGCACGTCCTTCCTTCTTCCCCAGCCCAAGAACACGAAGAAAGCATTCGCAACAGAAGCATCTGTGCACCAATCAGTCACCAACATCGTCCGTCGAATTTCTAACAGCAGAAGAAGCAGAGACAATATGTCGCTCATCCCAAGCTGGTTCGGTGGCCGTCGCAGCAACGTCTTCGACCCCTTCTCCCTCGACCTCTGGGACCCTTTCAAGGACTTCCCTCTCTCCTCCTCGCAGCTGTCACCCTCTTTCCCCGAGACTTTCCGGGAGAATTCCGCCTTCGTGAACACGAGGATCGACTGGAAGGAGACCCCAGAAGCCCACGTGTTCCAGGCCGATCTGCCGGGGCTCAAGAAGGAGGAAGTGAAGGTGGAGGTCGAGGACGACCGGGTGCTCCAGATCAGCGGAGAGAGGAAGGTGGAGAAGGAGGACAAGAACGACACGTGGCACAGGGTGGAGCGGAGCAGCGGGAGGTTCATGAGGAGGTTCAGGTTGCCCGAGAACGCGAAGATGGATCAGGTCAAGGCATCGATGGAGAACGGAGTGCTCACCGTCACTGTTCCCAAGGTGGAAGCAGAGAAGAAGCCCGAGGTCAAGGCCATCGACATATCCGGTTGATTTCGTGATGGTTAAACTTCAGATGGCTCCGTGTGTGTGCAGAGAGTTGTGTATGTCGGTTCCTTCCTGTGCTTCATGAGTCGTATTAATATATACTGCTGTAAGCTAAAACTATGGAACTCGCATTAGTTAAAACAGTAATACAATATGTATTTCTAAAGTCTTTGGCAGATGGTGGCTTTTGTGTGTGCTGCGTTTTGTAAGGATTTTGCATCTTCATGCTATGCTCGATGTCATATTTCAAAGCCATCGTCCAGGAAGCTTTTCGATTCGCTCACAAATTGCAATGCATGAATGAGAAGTCTAAGAGAAATCTCTGTTGGTCTCTTAGACAGCATTAGAATTTGAGAAAAAACTCGTACGATTTCAAATCTTCTCAATCAAGATAATGTATACCTGGCTTAGATAGACTATCCACGGGCAGATTTTTTGATGAGCGCTGCTTAGACTGCCCAAGTGCCTCAATCAGAGAGGGACAAAGCCAAGATGCGAAATCTGAGGGCATAACCGCAACAGATTGGTGCCGGTCCCCTGTCCATTTCACACCTTGCTCCTATGCTTCAGCTTGGCAAAATCTTAAATCCAAGGGCTATGCCATCACAATTGCCCACATACGGTACCAGAGTCCACCCCGTTAGCCTAACCCTGATTTCTCCTTCCTATGCATACTGGACGGCTTATCAGAGCAAGAGATCAGATCCACGGACATAAAAGCTCTAGTGCTAAGGCTCAATGTCATCTGTGACTCTGGCTCTAGAGGGTGCTTGACTTGGGGCATGAGACGCTCAGAGCCTTTGATGAGATCGTTTACGTCATCTATGATGTGCTCGTGTACTTCTCCAAAGCGGCCAATTGAAGATACCTTGTATTGTTTTATAGACCTGCAGTGCTGCCAATGCAATAGTTTTCCCTGTTTTTCTCCAGCTAAAGGCCCAAGGCCACATTTCTCTCCCAGGTACATGCTGTTATTCTATATAGATTATCGTCATTTCCTGTTGATTGATAATTGATGTCAATCATCCCCTCAGGTTCAAAGACCTACCAATCTCCAATTTCGGAGGATTAGACCATTTCATGGAGATAATATTCTTGGTGAGCATCAGATCATCTTTAGCCATTATATGCAACACCATTAAGTGCCTCGAGGATCATCGCTGATGCAGCTCCACCAAAAGTACCAAGTTCCACTTTTTTGGATAGGCATTATATTCTGCACTTGCTCCTACCTCTACCGTTACCTTGCTGGATGAGGACAACAGTTGCATTTCTTGGCTTGATAAGCAAACTCATAGTATGCCATCTGTTGAAAAAGAACAAGCGGCAAGTATGGTTCAATAACCTCTAAAGAGAGCAAAGAGTAGAAGAGGACACACACATAAAATTGGTGCTGAAAAACTCGCGTACATTTCATTCAACAGATCACAAGTCTATTAAATAGGCATAATATTGAAAACTACTAAGCAAGAAAATAACAACAGGATAACAATAACAAAGACCCACTAACATATCCCACTAACTAAAACGTGTAGAAACAAACCCTTACAAACTAAGACTCCACTACTACATTATTGAAGACATGTAAAACTGAAATTTGACCACTTCAACACTACTTCACGTGCTGGTGTTGTGTTTATTCAATACCATCTTGGGAAGCACAGCACGTATGAACGAAAATCGTTAATCTGAAATGGCATGGGGTCTGGCAAATAGTGAGCAGCCTTTGTTGTGGGTGATTAGGCCTGGTTCAATCCCAGTGAGTCAATGGATGAGGAACTCAGACAACTTGGGCTTGCATTGTGAAATGGGCACCTCAGAAGAAAGTAGTAGCTCACGACGCAGCAGAAGGGTTTTGAGGTCTGTGTGGATGGAGCTCCACCTTGGAGAGTATATGCAAGGGGTGCCAATGATATGTCAACCATTCGGTGACCTAAAGGTGAACTCGAGGTACCTGACGCATGGATGGAGGGTCGGATTCGAACTGGAGGGTGTGAAAGAGAGGAACCTTGGAAAGATCTGAGAAAAAAGGCAAAGAGATAAGGCAGAGGATCTTGGACTTGGAGCGCTGGGCCACTTTTAGTATTGCCGAAGCTGTATCTTCTCGCCAGTTCTTGATCTATCTAGTCGAGTTGCTCGCATCATTGTAGCAGCACGGAGATATCTGCTACTTTGCAATGCTTGGAGAAAAGTTTGTGTGCTGCAAAAAATTCAAAAGTTTGATGTTCTGATCTCTGAATACATTTAATGCAATTACACAAACTTATTGGCCTCTATTTATAGTTTGTGTTATGTGGAAAGAACAGCCAACCTAAAAGCTTAGGCCATTAGGTGGAAGAAGTGTATATGCATATAATCACGTATTGAAGCGTTGTGAGATTACAGTTAAAATGTGAGAAGGATAGAAAGTGTGGGAGAAAAAAATCATGTTTGTTATATATGGAGTGTACACATGTAATTATAATATATTCAACTCTTACGAGATAAGAAACCCAATATTACAAAATATTATACAATAATATACACATCCACTGAGATACTATTTTCTATTCCTAGAGTATATATGCCATGTATGCCTAGCTTGTTACATATGTACTTGATTCAGGATTCCAAGGTTCTAGGGAATTCATCAGCTTTCTAATCATCAGTTCTAACAAACACTTTTTTTATTTTCTTTTATTGCACAAAGTGACAGTTAACCCCTGGTCCTTTCATGGAAAATAGGATTGAAAGTAACATGGCTTGATTATCAGAAAACAAAATCATCATTTGCGACTGTGTCATATCCAATTATGTCAACAATTTTTTCAACCAAATCGACTCACAAGTGGTTACCACCATAGCTTGACATCCAGCTTATATACAGAAGAGAGCTAGAGCATTCAGTTTCTTGATCTTCCCTGAGATCAGGTTCCTCCACTGATCATGCAAGAACCAGTTGTAAATCTCCGATTAAAGGGACACCAGCCAGTCAGCATCAGTGTAGCCAACTACCTAAGTATGGCATCTACTCCGCTGCAATAGTCCTCTGCCGAGTGCACCTTTAACATTAACATTCTTAGCAATTCGAACCGCTGCATTCCAATATGTTTTCATTAGTGCATCCGAAAACTGGCCCACGACATTGATAGCAAAAGATACATCTGGTCTACTAATCATGAGATAGTTCACCTTAACAACCTATCTTCTATATCTTCGGAGGTCGGGAAATGGCTATTCCTTACCGAGAAAAAATTTGACGTCCGACTCTAGTAAGGAACAAGCCGATGGACGAGAAAAGCTACTCTCGGACTAAGGTAAAGCAAAAGGGCTATGATTGCACTAGGGCTATTGTACAAAGATTTAGTTTGTGAAGGTGCATATTGCTACTCTCGATATCAGGGTTTTTCTCACACGACTCTAACATCATGTGAGAACGAGAGAAAAATCGTATATGTCAAATAGAACGCATTTCAATAAAAAGATTTTACCTCTTCAATGTTTGCTGATGCGTTTGAACATAATGTTTCATGAATGTTTTCCTTCTTAGCAGGAATACGAAATCGAAAGAAAAGGAAGAAGCCCAATTTTGCGTTTACGCAATTATGTATTAAGCATCCACTAATGTCCAGCAAATAATGTCAATAATTCGATAGAGACAAAAAAAAAGTCATCATTTTTTCTGGAGTTTGTGCCTTAACTGTACTGGAAATTCTAAGGTACACCAATACACCGTACAATCTTGTCGTTCAACAACCAAGACTTCACTGTTTTGACCTACTTTCAAGGTCATTTGGACGAGAAGTTTTAAACCTTTTCGAGCATGTGCGTAAGAAGCAAAGTCGGCATACCTACCGCGATTCTGCCGTGAGCCAACATTTGGAATCTCACGCCATAACTTTACAAAAGCTGGGGAGAAACGGAGCTTTAGGGCGCGAATGATAACTATATTGATTTCTGAAATTCTTGCCAGAAATTGATTTCTGGAATTCTTGCCAGAAATTGATTTCTGGAGGAAAAATCTGTTTGATAAAACATGACTAATTCTCCTCCAAAATTGATTTAACGAAATGCTTTTTGATTTGTTGATTTTTTTTCACCTAAAAAATTCAAATTTCACTCAAAGTGGGTGGCCACAGGTATTCTAAGCCATTCTGTGAAGTTTTAACATTTTTTATTTTTTGATTTTTTTGGGCACCTCAAAAAATTTAAATTTCACTCAAAGTGGGTGACAAAAGGTATTCTAAGCCATTATGTGAAGTTTTGAAATTTTTGATTTTTTTGGGCACCTCAAAAAATTAAATTTTACTCAAAATGGGTGGCCACATGTATTCTTAAGCCATTTTGTGAAGTTTTGAAATTTTTGATTTTTTTTGGGCATCTCAAAAAATTTAAATTTCACTCAAAGTGGGTGGCCACAAGTATTCTAAGTCATTCTGTGAAGTTTTGAAGTTTTTTATTTTTTGATTTTTTTGGACATCTAAAAAAATTTAAATTTCACTCAAGGGTAGCTACATGTGTTCTAAGCCATTCTGTGAAGTTTTGAAATTTTTCATTTTTTTTATATTTTTTGAAAATAATTCACCAAATTTCCTATTTTCCCGAAATATGACTTTTTTTTTATTTTCTGGAAATTTTTATGAACATTTTTTGAAATTTTCAATTTTTATGCATTTTCTGAAAAAAAAAATTAGTAAGATCTCAAAATGTGTTGTAAAGGCGACGAAAAAGAGAGAAAATAGGGAGAATGCATTCTGGAAGAGAGAAGCTACAAAAAGTAGCTTCTCTTTTTCTTGCCAAAAACTCATTCTGGAATCAAGTATTTTTAACAAACTCATTTTTATTCCAGAATGTAAAAATTGATCCAGAATGCATTCCGGAAATTTTTTAACAAACGCATTTTTGTTCCGAAATACATTCTGGAGCAGAATTTCTGCTCTAGAATGGATTCCATGCGCGCCCTTAGCTTCGCTCGTGTCTGTGATTTTAACTTTGTACGACACAAGCAGTCCACATGAAAAGAGGCAGTACGCAGAAATCATGTATTAAACCGCAATGACTTCATCATGAGTTAATAAATTTGTCATCGACCCAATCCATCCCTTTCGAGTCCTCGGACTTGTGTGTGGTTCTGGTTTATCCACTTTTGCCCACTTCTGCTGTTGCATTTTTTTCCTTCTTTTTTTGCGAATTTCGTAACATCACTGAATGTAATATGGCAGAACGAATGGTACAATTGATCGTGATGGCTTTGGTGGGTACCTCTATTGTAAGAGTTTTTCTAATCCATCCCTTTCGAGTCCTCGGACTTGTGTGTGGTTCTGGTTTATCCACTTTTGCCCACTTCTGCTGTTGCATTTTTTTCCTTCTTTTTTTGCGAATTTCGTAACATCACTGAATGTAATATGGCAGAACGAATGGTACAATTGATCGTGATGGCTTTGGTGGGTACCTCTATTGTAAGAGTTTTTCTAATATGTGTCACATTAATTGAAATTGTAATTAACCGTTTACGGGTTTGATCTAATAAAGTTGGATATAAGAATTCTTAATCAGTCAGATATGGATTTGGCTATATGTGGGCCAAGTTAAGCTCGGCTGAAAACTCCAGCGTTGGAAGTCTCTCCTCTAACCCGAACCTCTCATAACCACCTCACATACGGAATAGAGAAAGAAATCTCTTGTGGGGGAAGGTCTCATTGCGCCAGGGATCCAAAGGGTAATAAAGAAGAAGAGCTCTGACAGGTGTATAAATCTCTTCTATCCTTTACTGTGCTTCTATTTCCTTGATATGGTGTTCCTAGGTCGATGGGACCGTACAAGCGGACGGACCGGCGAACCGGTTGGACCGTACAGCGGCCTATATCCATTTCATGTACTACTCTTCCTTTCTTGATCTTCTTTCCTTCTTGCGATTTTGTGAACGAAAAAGCACCATAAATTGTCTGTCTAAGCTTCACCATTCACGTGAAGAACCACATGGCAATTTACTGGGGAAAGAGCACGGACACCATGTTCTCCGGTTGGCGCGGTCCCAGCTCCTGGGACTTGGAGTTCTGGCTCTTGCAGCTGATACCACCTGTAATATCCCAGGTCTACACTGTGTAATATTGTCCGTTTTGGATCCACTGACCTTCAGTGTTTTAAAATGCGTTACACAGAATAGGCCACCCAGGCCTTATAAGCAATCCCAAGACTCTCCTCCTAAGCGATGTGGGACAAGAGATATGCCCCCCTTGTCATCCTAGAAGCCTGCCGGGAGCCGCTCCTTGTCCAGGCCCTTTTGGCCTCGGCGACTACTCTCCGCCCTCGTCGGACTGGGTCATTACAATTTCTCCCTCCACAGAACTGCTGATGGTCATTAGAATTGAAGCCACGTCCATCAATTACACACTTTAGCTTAGTAGAGAATCTGTGAGTGTTTGAATGTGTGGTAATTCTGTGACGTTAGTGGTGGGATTTTTGTAAACCACACCGATCAAATGCACCGATCAAATGCACCGTTGCTACGATGAAATCTACATTGCACGAAATAGTCAACATCCATATCAACAAACTGGAGCTCAGGAATGCTGGATCAGATAGCCCCCGGAGAAAGGCCAAAGGCCCTTTTTGTACTGCTCCGGTACCATGTGTAATAGCTCAGTCTACTACAGATCAGGCAAACCAGAGAGCAAATACTGCAAAACTCATCGAAGATTATTCATATTCAAGCGCCACACTGTGGCCCGACCAAAATAGAATATAACATCAAAAACAGAGACGACACATTGATTACACAGTCGCACAAAAACCTACAATTTCTTGCATGACACATTAACGAAAGAAAAAAGATCCAAAGTTATTCTTGTTCACAAGAAAGCCGAACATTATCGGACAGAAAACCTTTCATTCCGGCAACCACAAGAAGCTGAATTCAACCAGAGATGTCAATGGCCTTGACCTCAGGCTTCTTCTCCTCCATCTTGGGCACAGTGACGGTGAGCACTCCGTTCTCCATCGAGGCCTTGACCTGATCCATCTTCGCATTCTCAGGCAACCTGAACCTCCTCATGAACTTCCCGCTGCTTCTCTCCACCCGGTGCCATGTGTCATTCTTGTCCTCCTTCTCCACGTTCCTCTCGCCGCTTATCTGGAGCACCCGATTGTCTTCGATCTCGACTTTCACCTCCTCTTTCTTGAACCCAGGGAGATCCGCCTCGAACACGTGGGCTTGCGGGGTCTCCTTCCAGTCGATCCTCGTGTTCACGAAAGTGGTATTCTCCCGGAGAGCTTGAGGGAAAGTAGAGGCGGAGAGGGACGAGGAAGGGAAAGGGAAGTCCTTGAAGGGGTCCCAGAGGTCGAGAGAGAAAGGGTCAAAGACGTCGCTGCGACGACCGCCGAACCAGCTTGGTATGAGCGACATTGTATCTGCTTCTTCTGCTGCCGTTGGATCTCTTGAACTACAATGGAAGTTTCTGTAAAGATGGAGAAACATCTGGTCTCGCCCAGAGCTCTCTCCAAACCGGGCCTTGCTCTCGCGAAACTTCTGGTCTATAAGTCTGGAGATGTCTCCAGACAGGCCCATAACTATTGCTTTGACCAGTTTGGAAAATGGCTTAACACAATATCAGAAGCTATCAGCGCTATGGTGGAAAAGAAGACGAACAGTCGGTTTAGAAAAAGGAATTTCGCTGATTTGGAAATATAAAAAATCGAATGAAGTATTCATAGAAAGATTAGTGAATTTCTTTTTCAAACTTTGAAAAAGTTAGAAGTCCATAAATCTCAATATTATACGTGTGTTCCATACTTAATTTCCTTCTTACATGGATTCTTAAATATATAATATATATATCATCTTTTATCAATATCTACCATATAAAAAATGCAGTTCGACTGTCCCATGGTCTTTTTCCCCTTTGATAAAGTCATTCGTTTGTATCTTTATATATAAAACTATGGAAGTCATTCTCTCCGGATCAGGTGTTGCGGGAAAAGTATTGACGAGGCCCAGTCTGCAGTTTCCAGATGAAGCCACCGGGTTTGCAATTTTGCGTCCGAAACTAGAAAGACCGCGAAGGTACAAGACTGATCCTCTCTTTCCTATTTTAATAGCAATGCACTCCCGTTCCATGCCACATCGTCGAACGATAGCAGATCTCATCTAATTCAAGCGTTCTTTCAAAACTCTTTCTCGGCTCGGTCTCACATCTTCACTGGTGATCCCCCAACAACCATGTCGCTCATCCCAAGCTGGTTCGGTGGTCGTCGCAGCGACGCCTTCGACCCTTTCTCTCTCGACCTCTGGGACCCCTTCAAGGACTTCCCTTTCCCTTCCTCATCCCTCTCCGCCTCCAATTTTCCTCAGACTTTCCGGGACAACACCGCTTTCGCGAACACGAGGATCGACTGGAAGGAGACCCCGGAAGCCCACGTGATCAACGCTGATCTATCCGGGCTCAAGAAAGAGGAGGTGAAAGTCGAGATCGAGGACGATCAGGTGCTCCAGATTAGTGGAGAGAGGAACGTGGAGAAGGAGGACAGGAACGACACGTGGCACCGGGTGGAGCGAAGCAGCGGGAAGTTCATGAGGAGGTTCAGGTTGCCCGAGAATGCGAAGATGGATCAGGTCAGGGCTTCGATGGAGAACGGAGTGCTCACCGTCACTGTTCCCAAGGTGGAGGAGAGGACGCCTGAGGTCAAGGCCATTGAGATCTCTGGTTGAGTCTGTGATGGTGAAACTTCATAGTGAAATCGTGGCTTTGTGGGTGCAGCGTCTGTGTGTTTCGTCTCTCTTGTGTTTCGAGAGTCGTGTAAATGTGGGCAGTTGTCTCTGATACACACCGATGATGTAGCCAGCAGCTTGTGTACCCTTTGTTCATGAGCCAAAGCCCGAGAAGAGGGTTGACTTGATGGTCCCTGTTATTGCTCATTAAAATATATTATTCGAATCAAGAAAATATCAACCAGAATAGCTGCCAGGAAGCAGAAGCCAGAGAGAGAGAGAGAGAGCGAGTGTTTTTTCAAATGTATCATTAGATGCCGGGTCAAAGATGACCACGCCTATTTAAAAAAGTGCAATTATTTCTAGCTTGACCGCTTGGTGTGTTCTAGTCTTTGAATTCCCCGTTCCATGACCTCCATTCTGTGTAAATCTTCAAAGAGAGTAAAACCAGCCTGGATCAGCAAAAGCCCCTGTTTTTAAGAGCATATCTTCGATTGGAAAAAGATAAGAGAAGATGGTCCCAGGACCATTCCAGGGCCACCTCACTCCCATGCTTCAGCTGGCGACTGTCCTCAAGTCCAAGGATTTCTCCATTACAATTGCTCACACACATTTCAATAGTTTCTCTGCTCACCCCGATTTGACCTTCCTATGCATCCCGGACGGCTTATCCGAGCAAGAGGTTCGAAACCCTGATCTGGCAGACGTTCTGCTGAAGCTTAATGTCAACTGTGAGTCCAGCTTTAGGGAATGCCTAACTCGGGGCACAAACCACATGGACCCGGGTGACAAGATCTGCTGCATCATCTACAATCCCCTAGTGTACTTCTCTGGAGCCGTCGCCCGTGATTTGAAGATTCCTAGCATTGCTTTATACACAAGCAGTGCTGCTAATATCGCAGTTAGCCCTATTCTTCTCCAGTTAAAGGCACAAGGACACATCCCTGTCCTGGGTACATGCTCGTTTTCTCTTATTGAGTCACAGTTATCTCCTTCCTAATTTATATCATGGTCGCAGGGAAGTCTTGCGCTTAATTAATTTTGTTGTGATGATGGATGTATTGACGAAAAACGGTTGCAGTTTTAAATTCTGTCATGTTTGATCTTCAGCATGACCCTGTAGTTTTACGATCCGATGAGTCTCTTATAACCTATACTTTATTCAGGACTGGTTTCTGTGTCATCATCCAAGTTTGACACCCAAGCCAGATTTAATCATGAGTGTCATACTGTTAAGTATATAAAGCCGATGGATGCTAGATCACTTGTGGTTGTGCTAACTAACAACTGCCTCGTGTTGTGTTCTATTTGATACCATGCTGCAGGTTCCGGTGCCCCTGCACCAGCCCCTCAGGTTCAAAGACCTACCAATCTGCAATTTTGGAAGTTTAGACTATTTCTTGGAGGTGGTAGCCTTGGCACTTAATGTCAAATCGTCTTCTGCCATTATATTCAACACGATTCACTGCCTGGAAGAGTCACCTCTGGCCCAGCTCCACCACCAATACCACGTCCGATTTTTCCAATGGGCCCTTTACACAAATTCGCTCCTACCTCAGCTGTTAGCTTACTGCAAGAGGATACTGGTCGCATTCCATGGATTGACCAGCAGACTCATAATTCAGTCATTTATGTGAGTTTGGGAAACGTAGCACATATGAACCAAGACCAATTGTCTGAAATGGCTTGGGGTCTGGCAAATAGCAAGGAGCCTTTCTTGTGGGTTATAAGGTCTGGCTCAAGTCCAGGTGCGGAATGGATCAAGGCGAAGGATGAAAATTTTGGAGAATGTGTTAAGGACAGGGCTTGCATTGTGAAATGGGCACCTCAGAAGAAAGTACTGGCTCATGACGCAGTGGAAGGGTTTTGGAGTCGCTGTGGATGGAACTCCACCTTGGAGAGTATATGTGAAGGTGTTCCGATGATATGTCAACCATGTTTTGGCGACCAATGCGAGGTACTTGACTCATGAATGGAGGGTTGGATTAGAACTGGAGGGTGAGATAGAGAGAGTGACAGTAGAAAGGGCTCTTAGAACATTGATGAAGGAAAAGGAAGGTGAAGAGATGAGGCAGAGGATCTTGGATTTGAAGCACAAGTTTGATGTTAGTATGGGTGATGGTGGATCTTCTTGCCATTATCTGAGCGAGCTAGTCGACTTGTTGAGATCGTTCTAGCAGCAGAGAGTTGTTTGCTACTAAAGCACCACACAGAATGAAGATTGCGTCGTGCAGAAAGTGCAGAGATTTATTCTTATGGCATTGAAGAACAGAATAGAACAGATAATATGCTTTTATGCGACGATAAAAATGTGTTGGCTTGTCATATACAAGTTTGAGTCGTAGCAATTTTTTCGATTTTTCTTGCTAACCAGTGCATTTGATATGAATGGATCGAATTCACTTCTCCTTTCATGTATAAACATGTTAAATAAACATGACATGGTTATCCATTATGTCATAATTTTGAAATCTAAGCACGAATTATATGTAGGGGTGAGCGGTTCCAGGTTCCGTATAGGTTTTACCTGGAATCTACCCGTTGAAATAGGTTTCTCATTTTTTTGAAACCTGAAGCCTACCATGTCACAAGTTTCAGGGTTGGTTCCACGAACTACCTAGGTTCCACCTGTATTATTAATTGAACGATTGTAGTAAATCGTCACTTTTAATGATCACCACTTGCTGCTACAATCAACTTATCACAATTTATATTTTTAGACACACGAAAAATATGAAACATTAACAAAGTAAAATCTCAGTCATAAATTGGAAGCTTAGATTACACTCATTATTGGACGCTATAGAATACCGTAGGATCACCGGAAGACATAGATAAAGAAAAATACAAAAACTTGTTCCGGATTCCATCTATCTAGAACCCAAAACCTACCTGTCGAAACAGGTTCTCCAATTTATAGAACTTGAAACCTACCTTGCATATCCTGAAACCTGGAATCGGACAGATTCCCACGCATATCCTAGAACCTAGAATCAGACATGTTCCCATCGATCCTGTATCTTATGGACTAATGGCCACCAATTGATGGATCCTAGGGTAGTCATGGCCACGGGCCGGTTTCGGCTCAGAACCTGCCCGGTCAAACCTGGGCCCGGCCCATTGACCGGGCCCGCGGTTCGGAACCGGCGGTTCCAAGCCCGGTTCCAAAAAAAAAAATTAAAAAAAAAACCCTGTAGTATAGCAGGGCCTACACGTCTACAGGGCCCCACCCACGCCCACCTCCTCCAGTCCTCCACGCGGCCACGCCCTCTTCTCCCACCAGTCTTTCGCTCCACCCTCTCCTCCTCCATCCACACCCCTCTCCGCCACTCCCACCCCCTCTCCGCCGCCACCGCTCCCTCCGCCTCCCTCCTCCTCATGCCCTCCTGGTCCTCCCACCCTTCCCTCCCTTGCATCGGCGTCAAGCTCGTGACCCACTTCCCCCGCAGCTCCTCCGCGCTGAAACTGTCGGGGGTCCATGCCATCTTCGTCCTCTTCAGCTCCCTCACCGGCCAGCCCCTCGCCACCGCGGACGCCACCATGTTGACCTTGTATCGCACCGCCTGCGTCTCGGGCCTCGCCTCCGAGCTCCTCTCGCAGATCGACAGCAAGGTCCTCGTCATGGTCGGTCCCTCCTTCCCCCCTCTCCCCTGCGCCTCCTCCAGTCCTCCCCTTTTCTCCTCTGCCCACCCCCCGTCTTCCCAGATCTGACCCCAGCCGCCGTCGCCGCCGTCGCCCCCGCCCATGGCCGCAGCCGCCGATGCCGACAGCCCCTCCTCCTCCCCCCTCGCTACCCTGCGCCTCCTCCCCTTTTCTCCTCCTCCCCCCTCGAACCGGAACCGGCCGGAACCGGAACCGGCCCAGAACCGCCGGTTCATACATGGCCACGAACCGGAACCGGCGGTTCCTGAACCGTGGCCATGTCTATCCTAGGGTCATAACAAGTCGTGATCGTTTGTATTTTTTGGTAACTCCTCTACAAAATATTGTAACATACTAAAACTTGAAGGCAATTACAAAAAAATAGGCAAGGTTTACTCTTTTTTTTATTCGATGATCGTCAACCATTGCACATCTATTCCTAAGGATCCTTAGAAACACTCTTTTTTATAGTCTCTTGAGGGATTATCGCATCTTGTTGTGTTCAAGTTAATTTTTGCTATAAATTTTAGGAAAAATCTTAAATAAGGACCCGAAGTACTCTCATTTTCTCAAATAAGGACTTAAAGTGAATCTTGTGTCAAATAAGGACATCAAGTATCCTCATTTCTCAAATAAGGATCTGAAGTGAACCTTGTCTCAAATAAGTGTCTGAAGTGGCTATTTCAATCTAAAAAAAGGGCATAACCTTACCGGAGTCGAGGGCATTTTTGTCTTTTAATTTTTTTTTTCTTTCTTTCCTTTTGTTTTTTTTTCCATAAAAAACAAACTCAAAAAAAATAAAAACAGGGGGAGGGCTATGGCCACCGGCTTACTATGGCCATTGCCCCATCGCTAGCGGGGCGGCGGCCATGGCCGATGGGGTCGCTGGTGACCCTCGCCGTAACTAGGAGGTTCGGGCAACCCTCTCCCAGATCTGGATACGGTTGCCAACCCTCACCCTGGTCTGGGCAAGCGTCGCCGGCCCTTGTCTAGGTCTGCAGGAGGGTCGGCGACCCTCGCACAGGTCTGGCGGCCCTCTCCCAAACTAAGGTGAGGGCCGATGACACTGGCCCAAACCGGGGCGAGGGCCGGTGACCCTCGCTAGATCTGGGAGAGGGTTGCCGACCCTCCCAATTCTGGCGAGGGCCACCAGGCCCTCGTTGAAGCGTCAGTGACCCCGCCGGCCATGGCCGCCACCCCACTAGCGATGGGCTGGCGGCCACAGGTGGGGGAGGGCTGCCAGCCCTCCCTTGTTTTTTTCTTTTTAAAATTTTTTAATTTAATTTAATTAAAATTATTTTTGGACAAAAATTTCCTTGATCGATTAGAAAATTTGGTCGGCCGGCGAGGTGCAACTTTTATTTGAAACTGTTATAACTACTTCAGGTTCTTATTTGAGAAAAAAAAAACACTTCATGTTCTTATTTGACACAAAGTCCACTTTATGTCATTATTTGAGAAAATGATGGCATTTCGGGTCTTTATTTGGAATTTTCCCTAAATTTTATACAAAGTGTCATACTCTATAAAGGACAATTCAAAAAATATTCCTAAGTCATATCGATCTCGAGAGACTATTGATACTTATAATTATAAGAGGAATAATTGCAAAAAGTATCATGAGATTTGCACTAAACATTAAATACCATCCTTACTTTTGAAACCTATAACTTAGAGTTTTTCATTTTCATATCAACTTATATCCTCACAACCGTACTTATTAAAGAAATTGGTATTTCCTTTCCCAAACCAGCCTTCCCAAAAAGAAAAAAAAAATCACAAACCCTAGCCCGCGTTTCTCTCTCTTTCACTTTCTCTCTCCCACCTGTCACCCGCCCACCATCACCTTCCAAAGAACGGCTGAAGATGCCTCGTTCGATCACCATCGTTGTTAAAGTCATCATGGGTTCTAGATAACTCCGTTGTTAACTGAAAATATTGATGTGTCACTTTTTATTATTTTTTCTTTTCTATGAGGTGATGTCGTGGCTAAAACATGAAATATAAATTTAAAACAACATCGTTTTGGTCTAAATCTAATTTTTTAAATACATATTTTATTTAAATAATCTTAAAAATAAGCAAACTTAAAAAAACACAAGTAAGAAAAAAAGAGGAAAACTTAGGCGGGAGGGCTGCTGTTGGCAAGCCCTTGTCTATGTTTTCCTTTTTTTTTTTTTTTACTTTTTTAGAGTTTACTTTGGTTAATATCACGAAAAACTCTAAACTAGTACATCTGTGATAAATTTACTCTGAACAAATTTTTTGACCACGAAAAATCCTAAACTTGTACACTTGTGACAAATTTACTTCAAATTAATTTTTTGATCACTAAAAACTCCAAACTGATACACCTGTGACAAATTTACTCTCCGTTAGTTTCCGTTAAATTGGATTAATAACACGAAAAATCACAAACCGGTAAACTTATGACAAACGGAAGAAAAAACTCCAAACTTGTACACCCGTCAACTGCCACATGTCATCCAACTCAGCAATTTGACGATAAAATTTAAAGAAAACTGACGGAGGGTAAATTTGTCATAAATGTATCAATTTAGGGTTTTTGGTGGTCAAAAAATTAGTTTGGAATAAATTTATCACAGATGTACCAGTTTGGGATTTTTTTTATGGTATTAACCCTTTTTAAAATTTGACTTAAATAAAATTATATTAAAAAATTATATTTGAACCAAAACGACGTCATTTTAACTACATCAGCGCAGCGTAGGATAGAGAAAATAATAAAAAAAGGTCACATCAGTACTTGACAGAGTTAACGGAATGACTTTTTTTTTTGCTAGAATAACGGAATGACTTGATTGCACCAATTTGATAAGTTTTAGGAATTGATTGTATTTTTTGAAAATTTTAAAGCTTAATTGTACTTTTATAACAAATTTTAGAACTTTAACGTATTATAAGTCTTGAGAAAGAGCTAGAAGCTCGTAACCAGAACATTCCCTTTGGCTTAAACCTCGTTCCAGAAATCTCATGAACGTACGAGAAGACCTCTCTTCTCCTAATAAATACCCCAGCATGTCCCTCTCCTTCCAACAAGAATCTAGAAAGAAAGCAAATCACCAAGAATTTGAAACCCGAGCATAAATTGAGCAAAACTTGTCCTTCAACATCATCAGCCTTCGATCAAACAACGATCTCAGAGACGATTATGTCACTCATTCCAAGCTGGTTCGGCGCCCGACGCAACGACGCCTTCAAACCTTTCTTTCTTGACCTCTAGGACCCCTTCAAGCACTTCCCTTTCCCTTCACCATCCCTCTTCGCCTCTGATTTCCCCCCCGTCTTCCAGGGAAACTCCACCTTCGTCAACACCAGGATCGACTGGAGGGAAACTCCCAAAGCCCATGTGTTCAAGGCCGATCTTCCTAGGCTTAAGAAAGAGGAAGTGAAAGTCGAGATCGAGGACGATCGGGTGCTCCAAATCAGTGGGGAGAGGAAGGTGGAGAAGGAGGACAAGAACGACACGTGGCACCGGGTGGAACGAAGCAGCGGGAAGTTCATAAGGAGGTTCGGGTTGCCGGAGAATGCGAGGATGGATCAAGTCAAGGCTTTGATGGAGAACGGAGTGCTCACCGTCACTGTCCCGAAGGTGGAGGAGAAGAAGCCTGAGGTCTAAGTAGCACTAACACGCAACACACGACACGACACGCGACACATCATTTCTCAAAAAATAGAGAATTCTGATACATTGAGGCTGTGTTCGTTTGCGGAAAAATATTTTTCCGAAAAATATTTTCTGCGTTTTCCGGTGTTCGGGGGCGGAAAATGTTTTTCGTGGGAAAATATTTTCCTTCCCCACCCCAAATCCTTCATTGTTTTGAGGAAAATGATTTCCTCTTTTCACAAAGAGGAAATCATTTTTCCCCAAATTGAAGGCAAAATTGCCCATGGGAGGGAAAATGTTTTCCGTGGGAGAGAAAGTTGATCGCCGGTCACCCCCGTTGGCCGCCGGCCGCCCGCCCGCCACCGCCGTCGGCCGCCCGCCGCCGGTCGCCGGCCGCCCGCCCGCCGCCGCCGCCACCGGCAGCCCGCCCGCCACCGCCGCCGCCGGTCGCCGGCCGCCACCGCCGCCGCGCCGGTGAAAAATATTTTCGAAACTTTTTCATGTTGGTCGCCGAACACCGGAAAATTATGTTCCGGGAAAACATTTTCCAGGAAAATGACTTCCGGGAAAATATTTTCCAAAAAGAGAATATTTTCTGCCAAACGAACGGAGCCTGAGACACGTTATATATTAAATATATATTTTTATATATACATGATAAATTATCATTTTTAAATTTGATTCAATTAAGTAAATAAATAATAATAATAAACTAGAATGAATTTACCCTAAAAAATTATACACATAAATGTATCAATAAATATGTTAGTTAAGAAACTAAAAGTAAATATTCAAATTTTAAAAAAAGAAAAGTACAAGATCAAAAATAAAAAAAAAGCAGCCCATTATTGAAAGCCTAGCCTCACTTTGTCAAGACCCTAATAACATCTTCTTCTCTATCCCTCCCCCCTCCGCCTCCTCCTCTCTCCGGCTTGCTCCTCCGCACGACCCGCAGGCTCCTCCCACCTTTTCCTTCTCCTCCGTCACCAGCGAAGCGCGAGGCAAAGGAGATGATGGCATGAAGGGCGTCGTCCTCGGCGCCGGAGAAGCGGGAGGCGAAGGAGAAGACGGCGTGGAGGGCGTCGTCCTCGGCGCCAGAGATTTGCACCTTCTTCCTCATCTCCCTCGGTGACGAATGGACACGCGTGTCCGAGCGTGTCGGACACGCGACACGTGTCCGACACCGACACGGACGCCTCCCCAGCGTGTCGGTGCTTCCTAGCCTGAGGTCAAGAACGTTGAGATCTCTGGTTGAGCCTGTGATGGAAACTTACGACAGCTAATATGAAATCGTGGCTTCGTGTGTGCAGAGTCTGTGTGTTTCATCTCTTTCTTTTGTGTTTCGAGAGTCGTATGAACGCGGGTCTCTGTCTCTGAGACACTGATGTAATCTGAACTCGCAATACTTTTTTGGTAAAAAGCTTAACTTCAATCTTACAATTCTCAGCCCCGTTTCGCCTGCTTCGTTGGATCGCCGAAGTGAATCTTTGCTTTACCTGTCTTTCATTTGGCTTCACTTCGGGAATTATTTGGAATTTTCCTAGCCAGCAGCGTATGAATTATATCCACTAGTTCACGAGGACAAGCCAGGGAAGAGGGTTGACGTGAGTCCCATTTATTGCTCATGGAAATGAATAATCTAAATCAAGATGCTATGAACCAGAATAGCTGCCAAGAAGCAGAAGCCACAGAGAGAGAGAGGGGGCGAGATGGCGAGTGCCCCTTTAAATGTTTCATTAAGTGCCGTGTCAAACTTGACCACGAACGTTCAGAAAGTGCGACTATTCCTAACTTTCGCAAATTGACCGTTCGGAGGGACCTGTTCACTTGTCCTTCAATGCTGGGTCTTTGCATCCACCATCCCATTACTTCTTTTCTGTGTAAACTTTTAAAGATAGTAAAACCAGCCTGAATCAGCAAAAGCCCCCGTCTTCAAGAGCATAACTTCGCATAACATCTGAATATCTTCGGTTGGAAAAAAGAAGATGGAAAATCGAGGGCGAAATAGCAAGAGATTGGTCCTGGTCCCAGGGCCATTCCAGGGCCACCTCACTCCCATGCTTCAGCTGGCGACCATCCTCAAGTCCAGGGGCTTCTCCATCACAATTGCTCATACACAGTTCAACAGTCCAGATTCTTCGGCTCACCCCGATTTCGCTTTCTTATGCATACCGGATGGCTTGTCCGAACAAGAGGTTCGGAACCCTGATCTGGCAGCCATCGTGCTGAGGCTTAATGATAACTGTAAGTCCAGTTTTAGGGAGTGCCTAAGTCAGGGCACAAACCATACAGAGCCGGGTGAGAAGATCTGCTGCATCATCTACGATGCACTCGTGTACTTCTCCGAAGCCGCTGCCCGCGATTTGAAGATTCCTAGCATTGCTTTATATACGAGCAGTGCTGCTACTACCATAGTTCGCCCGATTCTTCACGAGTTAAAGGCACAAGGTCACATCCCTGTCCCAGGTACACGCTCGTTTCTCTTATTAAAGCTACAGTTATCTCCTTCCTAATTAATATCACGGTTGCGGAGAAATCTTGCTCTTAATCCATCTTGTTTGTGAGGATAGATGCATTGCCAAAAATCAAATGTAGTTTTAAAATCTGTCATATGTGACCTTCAGCATCACCCTGTAGTTTTATGATCTGACGAGTCTCTTCTATGACTGTACTCTATTCAAGACTGGTTTCTGTGTCATCATCCATGTTTGACACCCAAGCCAGATTTTAATCCTGAATGTCATCATACCACTAAGTATATAAGCCAATGGGCTCTAGCTCACTTCTTGTTGTGCTAGCTAACGACTGCCCTGTGTTCTATTAGATTCCATGTTGCAGGTTCCGGTGCCCCTGCATCAGCCCCTCAGGTTCGGTGACCTACCAACCTTCAATTTTGGAAGTTTAGACTATTTCTTCGAGGTGGTAGCCTTGGCATATAATCTCAGACCGTCTTCGGCCGTTATACTCAACACAGTTCACTGCCTCGAAGAGTCACCTCTGGCACAGCTCAACCGAAAGTACCAAGTTCCGATTTTTCCAGTTGGCCCTCTACACAAATTCGCTCCTACCTCAGCTGCCAGCTTACTGCAAGAGGATACTGGTTGCATTCCATGGCTTGACAAGCAGACTCATAATTCAGTCATTTATGTGAGTTTGGGAAGCGTAGCACATATGAGCCAAGACCAACTGTCTGAAATGGCTTGGGGTTTGGCAAATAGCAAGGAGCCTTTCTTGTGGGTTATTAGGCCTGGCTCAATTCCAGGTTTGGAATGGATTGAGTCAATGGATGAAGAATTCAAAGAATGTGTTAAGGACAGGGGATGCATTGTGAAATGGGCACCTCAGAAGAAAGTACTGGCTCATGAGGCGGTGGGAGGATTTTGGAGCCACTGTGGATGGAACTCCACCTTGGAGAGTATATGTGAAGGTGTTCCAATGATATGTCAACCATGTTTTGGGGACCAAAAGGTGAATGCAAGGTACTTGACTCATGAATGGAGGGTAGGATTAGAACTGGAGGGTGAGATAGAGAGAGGGACAGTAGAAAGAGCTATTAGAACATTGATGAAGGAAAAGGAAGGTGAAGAGATGAGGCAGAGTGTCTTGGATTTGAAGAACAAGGTTGATTTTAGTGTAGGTGATGCCGGATCTTCTTGCCATTATCTGAGCGAGCTAGTCAAGTTGCTGACATCGCTCTAGCAGGACAGAGTCGTTTGCTACTAAAGCACTGCACAGAATGAAGTATGTGTACTGCAGAAAGTGCAGATTCGGTCTTCTGGCGTTGAAGAACAGAACAGAACAGATATATACTTAGATGCAATGATGAAATCTGTTGGCTTGTCATATGCAAGTTTGTGTTGAAGCAATCTTTGTTTTCTTTCTAACCAGCGGAGCTGATCTGAATGGCTCGAATTCACTACTCCTTTCACTTGTTCGAGATTAATTAGGGTTGGCAGTTTATGTTTATCACGTTCTAATCGTATCTAATCAGACTTAGTTTCACCCGAACATAACATGTTTATTCATTATGTCACAATTGCGAAATCTAAACTTGATACACTTATTAAATGTGTTGGACAACGTGACACATTTACTACGTTTAAGTCATGGACTCTTAGAACAAACATGTTGAATATGTTTAGACGTATCTAAATGTATCTGAGTATATATTATGTGTTGTGTCGACCCAATTAACTTGTTAACTGTATAGTTAAACTTGTCTAAGTATGTCATAAAAAGGATGGAGCTGACATGATACATTTAGCATTCGGGCACCAATGAGTTGTTTCTTTCATTATAGAAACCTATGTAAGCTTGACATGAAAATGGTTAACAACATCTCGTGTAAATGGGCTGTGTCGATATTGGCTCAGCCTCATTCAAGATTGATTGCCCTACTATTATGTTCGATGAATGTTCTTCCCGCCCAGCAAAAACATAAATCAGAAGAAAGGGGGAATACGGATATCCTAAATCAACAAGCTTATTGAAGGAGATGCAAATAATGAAAAAAGGAGGAGATGCAAATTGAAGGTTTTAAAAAAGAAAGGATAGTTTTTTTTATATGTTAGTGCAAATTTGAAGATTTTTTTTTTGTAATATCCCATTATAAAATGCCGGAATTGTCACATTGTAAATTGCATGATATATAGTCACACGTAGATCAAATCAATTTCATGGATTCGCCTAGTTCAAGTTATGGACCAAGAAAGGTTTGATTAAGCAATATTAATAGAGCTTGCACAGAGAAGTTAAAGAAATTTGAGGGAAAAAGTTGAAAGGAAGGATTAAGGAAAAGAGACGAAGAAAGAGGGAAACTGATATAAAACTAACGGGCTCCAGAAAGCATTGCTCAGTTCTGGCCTATTAGTCTGTGCAACACTGTTTATAAAGCTATTGACCTTAATTTCTCCTCTTCAGAGTAGCTTCATCCCTGGCTGAAGAGAGCTATCGATAAGGTCATCACCGCACAAGAAATGGTTCACTATACGCGGTAAGGCGGGTACGGTGATTGTTAAGTATTGGTCTGTCCAAGGCTTATGATAAGTTACAATGAGGATTACCTTGTTCAATTTTCCAGATTCTTGGATAAAACTCATTATGCTCTGTATTTCTTCCACCACGACCTCCTTTCTTTTCAGTGGAGGTACTCTAGATAGTTTCTAGCCTTCATGGGGTATTTGACAAGGTGGCTTCATTTCTCTGGACATCTTCGTCCAGTGCATGGAATACCTGAGCCGAAAAATCCTGGATGCATGCGAGGATAAGGCATGGACCCCCATCGGAGTCAATCAGGAAAGCCCTTTGTTCTCCCACTTATCTTTCGCGGATGACCTTATTTTATTTGCCTGCGCCAACAGGAAAAACTGCAGCACCATTGTCACGGTTAGTCTGTTATGGAAGCTATTCCCGAATATTATATGCAATGTGTTAGTCTTCCTCCCGATGTCCTCGACAGAATTCGAAAAATTGAGAGAGACTTCATCGGGGGTCTGCAGATAGTAAGAGAAAACTTCATCTTCTAGATTGGAAGTCTCGTCACTTGTTCAAAAAGCAAAGGCTTATTGGCTTGTATAGAGCCAGAGGTAAAAAGAAAGCCATTCTTGCTAAACTTAAGTGGCATTTCCTCGAGGAAGAGAACAAACTGTGGGCTAAAACTCTCTCTGCGAAATACCTCCGTAGAAGATCCATCCCATTTTCCGGTAGAACTAGAGTTTCTCGCAATTGGAGAGCTCTTTAGGCCATCTTGGATCCCTTTTGTTGGTCCCCTTAGTAAGGGCGACGAAAATATGACTGTTTCTGGTTGTTGGGTCAGCCCTGGTGCTCGGGACTTTTTCAATCTCCCGCACTTTGCTGAAGATATCAACAGAAAAATTCGGGCGATCCTACCGCTCACGGTAGGAGCAAGGAAGATTCTCTTGCCTGGAAGTCCACTGATGATGGGCAGTCCAAGACTGGGGATGCCTATGATATCGCCATTGACGAATTTTCCTCTGCTCCAAGTAAAGAATGATTGGAGTTGGATCTGGAAAAATCATACCATTCCTAGGATCCAAACTTTCCTTTGGCTCATCAATCATAATAAGCTCCGCATTATGCAAAATGCGAATTTGCAGCATTTGTGGTTTTCTTTAGGAGGATGTCCTCCATTTTCTTCGTGACTGTCCGCCACTCACGACGTCTGGAACAGTGGGTATTCCTAATTCATGTATGAAGAGCTTCACGGAGCCTCTTCATACATGGATCAAGTTTAATTAGGTACAAAGAACATCTCCAGCATCATCAAACTTCATCTCCTCTGGAACTTTTTGCATACGAATAAATACAGATGGCTTGGCTTTGGAAAACCTGGGTAAGACGTGTGCAGGAGGCATTTTGCCTACTCACGAGTCATGAGGGCCATAGGGTCTGTGAATTTTTCACGAATTATTGGCTCTACCTCCTCGTCTGTCTTTGCTGAGTTGTGGGTTCTCGAGATGGATTACAACTTGCTGTGGATCGTGGAATTTGGAGATTGATCGTCGAACTCCACGCCATGGCTGTTCTCCAGTATTGTCGATGACTGCAGGTTGTTGGGAACCCGAATCCTGGACCGCTTTCTCCAACATAGCTACCGCGAGGTGAATACTTGCGCGCATGCACTAGCAAGACATGGCCATGACCAAACTGAAGAGGTACTTTAGGGATGTAACTGAGTCGATGAGGTTTATTGTTCGAGCTTCTTCTTCAGTTTTTTACTACATTTGGACTCCAGTCAACTCAACTGGATTTGCAGGGAAATTACAGTCTAAACTCCAGTATAAGCTCGAGTTCTGCTCCCACTAGACATAAAAAAAATACGATGAAACTACAAGCATTTTTCTATTCGAATAGACTCGTGAGTTTACTCGAGTCAAACTTTTTAACTCGAGCTCGGATATTACGTAACCGAGTTATTCAAACTCGAGAAAAAGGAGCAGAGTTCAAGTAATCCACCAATCGCTCACTCATGGTAACTCGACTCGCTTCACTTCTAGAAATTCCTTCGGAACAATCTTTCTTTCGTTTCCTATGACGATGAAGCTTATCTGGGTGATGAGAAATCAAAATGATGTGATGTGTTCAATCTAAATTTTCTTTACTACGGAGTTATTTCCTTGAAATAAATCGTTGTGAATATCGCGGTGATGACAATTTGAGAGTGAGCAAAAGTAAGCCGTATTCCACCAAGAAGATGGCAGCATTAGGCAGAGATTTCAGCCCACGAAAGCAGTTGATCACGGTCCATGAGGAAGGCCCAATCTCCGGTCGATCTTGACCCGAGACCAGATGTTTCTTCATCATACCAGAAAACAGAAACAGAAACTTCCATTTGAGAATATCTCAAAAGCTCATGAAAGTACGAGAAACCTCCTCTGCCTCCTATAAATAGCCCGCGCGTCCTTGCTTCTTCCCAAACCCAAGAACACGAAGAAAGCATTCGCAAGAGAAGCATCTGTGCACCAATCAGTCGCCAACATCGTCCGTTGATTTTTTAACAGCAGAAGAAGCAGAGACAATATGTCGCTCATCCCGAGCTGGTTTGGTGGCCGTCGCAGCAACGTCTTCGACCCCTTCTCCCTCGACCTCTGGGACCCTTTCAAGGACTTCCCTCTCGCCTCATCGCAGCTGTCACCCTCTTTCCCCGAGACTTTACGGGAGAATTCCGCCTTTGTAAACACGAGGATCGACTGGAAGGAGACCCCAGAAGCCCACGTGTTCAAGGCCGATCTGCCGGGGCTCAAGAAGGAGGAAGTGAAGGTGGAGGTCGAGGACGACCGGGTGCTCCAGATCAGCGGAGAGAGGAAGGTGGAGAAGGAGGACAAGAACGACACGTGGCACAGGGTGGAGCGGAGCAGCGGGAGGTTCATGAGGAGGTTCAGGTTGCCCGAGAACGCGAAGATGGATCAGGTCAAGGCATCGATGGAGAACGGAGTGCTCACCGTCACTGTTCCCAAGTTGGAAGCAGAGAAGAAGCCCGAGGTCAAGGCCATCGACATATCCGGTTGATTTCGTGATGGTTAAACTTCAGATGGCTCCGTGTGTGTGCAGAGAGTTGTGTATGTCGGTTTCTTCCTGTGCTTCATGAGTCGTATTAATATGTACTGCTGTCAGCTAAAACTATGGAACTCGCATTAGTTAAAATAGTAATACAATATGTATTTCTAAAGTCTTTGCCAGATGGTGGCTTTTGTGTGCGCTGCGTTTTGTGAGGATTTTGTATCTTCATGCTATGCTCGATGTCATATTTCAAAGCCATCGTCCAGGAAGCTTTTTGATTCGCTCGCGAATTGCAATGCATGAATGATAAGTCTAAGAGAAATCTCTGTTGGTCTCTCAGACAGCATTAGAATTTGAGAAAAACTCGTACGAATTCAAATCTTCTCAATCAAGATATTGTATACCCTGCATGGACAGGCTATCCACGGGTAAATTTTTTGATGAGTGCTGCTTGGACTTCCCAAGTGCCTCAATCAGAGATGGACAAAGCTAAGATGCGAAATCTGAGGGCATAACCGCAACAGATTGCTGCCGGTCCCCCTTCCATTTCACACCTTGCTCCTATGCTTCAGCTTGGCAAAATCTTAAATCCAAGGGCTATGCCATCAAAATTGCCGACATACAGTACCAGAGTCCACCCCGTTAGCCTAACCCTGATTTCTCCTTCCTATGCATACTGGACGGCTTATCAGAGTGAGAGATCAGATCCACGGACATAAGAGCTCTAGTGCTAAGGCTCAATGTCATCTGTGACTCTAGCTCTAGAGGGTGCTTGACATGGGGCATGAGACGCTCAGAGCCTTTGAGGAGATCGTTTTCATCATATATGATGTGCTCGTGTACTTCTTCAAAGCGGCCATTTGAAGATACCTAGTATTGTTTTATAGACCCGTAGTGCTGCCAATGCAATTAGTTTGCCCTGTTTTTCTCCAGCTAAAGGCCCAAGGACACATTTCTCTCCCAGGTACATGCTGTTATTCTATTAGATTATCATCATTTCCTGTTGATTGATAATTGATATCAATCATCCCCTCAGGTTCAAAGACCTACCAATCTCCAATTTCAGACAATTAGACCATTTCATGGAGATGATATTCTTGGTGAGCTTCAGATCATCTTTAGCCATTATATGCAACACCATTAGGTGCCTTGAGGATCATCGCTGATGCAGCTCCACCAAAAGTACCAAGTTCCACTTTTTTGGATAGGCATTATATTCTACACTTGCTCCTACCTCTACCGTTACCTTGCTGGATGAGGACAACAGTTGCATTTCTTGGCTTGATAAGCAAACTCATAGTATGCCATCTTGGGAAGCACAGCACGTATGAACGAAAATCGTTAATCTGAAATGGCATGGGGTCTGGCAAATAGTGAGCAGCCTTTGTTGTGGGTGATTAGGCCTGGTTCCATCCCAGCGAGTCAATGGATGAGGAACTCAGACAACTTGGGCTTGCATTGTGAAATGGGCACCTCAGAAGAAAGTAGTGGCTCATGACGCAGCGGAAGGGTTTTGAGGTCTCTGTGGATGGAGCTCCACCTTGGAGAGTATATGCGAAGGGGTGCCAATGATATGTCAACCGTTAGGTGACCTAAAGGTGAACGCGAGGTACCTGACACATGGATGGAGGGTCCGATTTGAACTGGAGGGTGTGATAGAGAGGAACCTTGGAAAGATCTGTTAGAAGATTGATGCAGGAGAAAAAAGGCAAAGAGATAAGGCAGAGGATCTTGGACTTGGAGCGCTGGGCCACTTTTAGTATTGCCGAAGCTGTATTTTCTCGCCAGTTCTTGATCTATCTAGTCGACTTGCTCGCATCATTGTAGCAGCACAGAGATATCTGCTACTAAGCAGTGCTTGGAGACAAGTTTGTGTGCTGCAAAAAGTTCAAAAGTTTGATGTTCTGATCTCTGAAAACATTTGATGCAATTACACAAACTTAATGGCCTCTATTTATAGTTTGTGTTCTGTGGAAAGAACATCCAACCTAAAAGCTTAGGCCATTAGGTGGAAGGAGTGTACATGCATATAATCACGTATTTGTTAGATTACAGTTAAAATGTGAGAAGGATAGAAAGTATGGGAGAGAAAAATCGTGTATGTTATATATGGAGTGCACGCATGTAATTATAATATATTCAACTCTCACAAGATAAGAAACATAATATTACAAAATATTATACAATAATATACACATCCACTGAGATACTATTTTCTATTCCTAGGGTATATATGCCATGTATGCCTAGCTTGTTACATATATACTTGATTCAGGATTCCAAGGTTTTAGGGAATACATCAGCTAACTAATCATCAGTTCTAACAAACACTTTTTTATTTTCTCGAGACTGTAGTTTTTATTGAACAAAGTGACAGTCAACCCCTGTATGTTTGGTCCTTTCATGGAAAACAGGATTGAAAGTAACATGGCTTGATTATCAGAAAACAAAATCATTATTTGCGACTATGTCATATCCAATTATGTTGACAATTTTTTCAACCAAATCAACTCACAAGTGGTTACCGCCATAGCTTGATATCCAGCCTATATACAGAAGCGAGCCAGAGCATTCAGTTTCTTGCTCTTCCCTGAGATCAGGTTCCTTCACTGATCATGCAAGAATCAGCCGTGAATCTCCGATTAAAGGGACACCAGCCAGTCAGCATCAGTGTAGCCAACTACCTAAGTATGGCATCTACTCCGCTGCAATAGTCCTCTGCCAAGTGCACCTTTAATTTTCTTCGCAATTCGAACCACTGCATCCCAATATGTTTTCATCAGTGCATCCAAAAACTGGCCCACGACATTGACAGCAAAAGATACATCTGGTCTACTAATCATGAGATAGTTCACCTTACCAACCTATCTTCTATATCTTCGGAGGTCAGGAAATGGCTATTCCTTACCGAGAAATAATATGACGTTTGGGTCTATTGAAGTAACAACAGGTTTCCCAGTAAGTAAACCGGTTTCCTGCAAATTATCCAACACAAGAACTAAAATACTTAGAAATTGCCTTATGGGCTTTACGATCACTTGAGCTTAGCCTAGTTGTTACAGAAGGAACTTGTGGATGGGCAACAAGACGACAAGCTGGACGGCCTTGTTTTCATGACTAATGGGGTGATCAAGAAGCTCGACTCTAGTAACGAACAAGCTGATGGACGAGAGAAGCTGCTCTTGGACTACGGTAAAGCAAACGGGCTATGATTGCACTAAGGCTATTGTGCAAAGATTTAGTTTGTGAAGGTGCATATTGCTACACTCAACATCAGGATATTCCTCATACGGCTCGGACACCACGTGAGAGAGAGAAAAACCGTATATATCATATAGAATGCATTTCAGTAAAAAAAATTTACTTCTTCAATGTTTGTTGATGCGTTTGAACGTAAATGTTTCTCATGAATGTTTTCCTTCTAAGCAGGAATACGAAATCGATAGAAAAGAAAGGAGCCCAATTTTGCGTTTCAGCAATTATGTATTAGGCATCCACTAATGTCCAGCAAAAAATGTCAAGAATGCGATAGAAACGAAAAAAGAAAGTCATCATAATTTCTGGAGTTTATGCCTTAACTGTACTGGAAATTCTAAGGTACACCAATACACCGTACAATCTTGTCGTTCAACAACCAAGACTTCACTGTTTTGACCTATTTTCAAGGTCATTTGGACGAGAAGTTTTAAACCTTTTCGAGCATGTGCGTAAGAAGCAAAGTCGGCATACCTACCGCGATTCTGCCGTGACCCAACATTCGGAATCTCACGCCATAACTTTACAAAAGCTGGTGGAGAAACAGAGCTTTAGCTGCGCTCGTGTCCGTGGTTTGAAATTCGTACTACACAAGCAGTCCACATGAAGAGAGGCAGTACGCAGAAATCATGTATTAAACCGCAATGACTCCATCGTGAGTTAATAAATTTGCCATCGACCCAATCCATCCCTTTTGAGTCCTGAGACTTGTGTGTGGTTCTGGTTCATCCACTTTTGCCCACTTCTGCTGTTGCATTTTTCTTCTTCTTTTTTTGCGAATTACGCAAGATCACTGAATGTAATATGGCAGAACGAATAGTATAATTGATCGTGATGGCTTTGGTGCGTACCTCCATTTCATGTACTACTTTTCCTTTCTTGATCTTCTTTCCCTCCTTCGATTTTGTGAACGAAAGAGCACCATAAATTGTCTAAGCTTCACAATTCACGTGAAGAACCACATGGCATTTTACTGGGGAAAGAGCTCAGACGCCATGTTCTCCTGTTGGCACAGTCCCAGCTCCGGGGCCTTGGTGTTCTGGCTCTCCGTGCTCGTGGAGTGGATCTCGCACGCCAGGATCGTAAGACCCGGCATCAACAACGTCGTGGCTAGCCTCATGCGGACAGTGATGTACGCTGTTCATATCACGGTGGCCTACGTGGTGATGCTCGCCGTCATGTCCTTTAACGCCAGTGTTCTAATCGCTGCTGTCGCGGGACATGCTGGTGGGTTCTTGCTCTTCGGCAGTCGGGCTTTTAGGAGTAAGTCCCGGGCGATGGTTCATCAGGAGCCATCCGATTTCTCCCTCCACAGGACTGCTGATGGTCATTAGCATTGAAGCCGCGTCCATCAATTGCACACTTTAGCTTAGTAGAGAATGTGAGAGTGTTTGAATGTGTGGTAATTCTGTGACGTTAGTCGTGGTATTTCTGTAAACCGCACCGATCAAATGCACCGTTGCTACGATGAAATCTACATTGCACGAAATAGCCAACAACCATATCAACGAACTGGAGCTCAGGAACGCCGGTTCAGATAGCCCCCGGAGAAAGGCCAAAGGCCCTTTTGGTACTGCTCCGGTACCATGTGTAATAGCTCAATCTGTTACAGATCAGGCAAACCAGAGAGCAAATATTGCAAACCTCATCAAAGATTATTCATATTCAAGCGCCACACTGTGGCCCGACCAAAATACAATACAACATCAAAAACAGAGATGACACATTGATTACACAGTCGCACAAACACCGACAACCTCTTGCATGACACATTAACGAAAGAAAAAAATCCAAAATTATACTTGCTCACAAGAAAGCCGAACATTATAGGACGTAAACCGCTCGTTCCTGCAACCACAAGAAGTTGAGTTCAACCAGAGATCTCGATGGGCTTGACCTCAGGCTTCTTCTCCTCCACCTTGGGAACAGTGACGGTGAGCACTCCGTTCTCCATCGAGGCCTTGACCTGATCCATCTTCGCATTCTCGGGCAACCTGAACCTCCTCATGAACTTCCCGCTGCTTCTCTCTACTCGGTGCCACGTGTCATTCTTGTCCTCCTTCTCCACATTCCTCTCGCCGCTTATCTGGAGCACCCGATCGTCTTCGATCTCCACCTTGACTTCCTCTTTCTTGAGCCCGGGAAGATCCGCCTTGAACACGTGGGCTTCCGGGGTCTCCTTCCAGTCGATCCTCGTGTTCACGAAAGCGGTATTCTCCCGGAGAGTTTGAGGGAAAGTAGAGGCGGAGAGGGACGAGGAAGAGAAACGGAAGTCCTTGAAGGGGTCCCAGAGGTCGAGAGAGAAAGGGTCGAAGACGTCGCTGCGACGGCCGCCGAACCAGCTTGGGATGAGCGACATTGTATCTGCTTCTTCCGCTGCTTGTTGGGTGATTCAAAGACGTTTGGTGATTGATGGTCGGACTGATGCTCTCTCTTGCTGATGCTTTCCTTTTCTTGAAGTGGGGAGCAGGTGACGGACATGCCTGGTATTTATAGGAGAGGAGAAGAAGAGCTAAGGATCGAACTCCAATGGAAGTTTCTGTAAAGATGGAGAAACGTCTGGTCTCGCCCAGAGCTCTCTCCAAACCGGGCCCTGCTCTCGCGAAACTTCTGGTCTTTACGTCTGGAGATGTCTCCAGACAGGCCCATAACTATTGCTTTGACCGGTTTGAAAATTGACTGACACAATATCAGAAGCTATCAGCGCTATCGTGGAAGAGAAGACGAACTAGAGAAAGAATTTTCGCTGATTTGGAAATATAAAAATCGAATGAAGCATTCATAGAAAGAATTGTAAAGCTGTATATAACGATGAATTATGCAAGCATAACGTTCCGTGTAGATTATGGATTGATTTCAACCACATGCTGGACATTTTGCGCTTCTCCCTCTTTTCCATATGCACAGAGAGATTATAATAAGATCCAACTGGCGCATCTCGTGTAAAATATTCAATTAATCTAAAAAAATGGGTCAATTTGCATAAACATTTATAGAACATGTATATTACCGAGTTTTATTGAATTTTTTATCCTCAAAGTGCATTTAAGAGTTTCATATATATATTTCAAGATGAGGTCCAATACTATTAAGACAGCTCCACACGGCACACCAGTTCATATGTTCTTCAATCACTCTAGTTGCGACTCGTCCCCACCCTCATTCTTTTAAGGGAAAATGATATAAATGGTCCATGAACTTTGACCTAATGTGCATGTGCTCCCTAAACTTTAACCCAATATTCAATGTCATCCCTAAACTTTTAAATTATTCAATGTAGTCCCTGAATATTGAACATAAATCAAAAGTTCAGGGACCACATTAAACAAATTAAAAGTTTAGGGACCACATTGCACATTGGGGTAAAGTTCAAGAATCATGTTGAACAAATTAAAAGTTTATAGACCACATTGTGCATTGTGCCAAAGTTAAGATAATCTCCTCTTTTAAAATGTGTTGTTATAGTTTGAGGTTATGCTAGAGTTATCTAACGGTCTAACAGTGCAACGCTCCATAGTTTGATGAATATATACCAATAACTTGCAAATGAAAGTTCTAGATTTTTGTTCTTGATTTATTTAATAAATATGACTGTTCACATTTTGCTTATTCTAACAATAAATAGAACGAGCTCTAAATACAGAGTACTTAGTTTCAATGCCAGACGCAACGGTAAAAATTATGAAAAAAAAAAAAAGAATCAAAGTGTTGGTAATAATAGAGCATCCATTGGTCCCAAAAGTATTGGCTTATTCGGACTAATAGTTAACAATGGCTCTAAACGGATTGTGTTTAGTTTAAGTTCAAATTCAGGTTTCTCTCGATGAATTCATGAATCGTACTTGAGTTGCATTCTCGTGTCATGACATTTAAGAACTATTATCTTATTCATATTCGTTCTACTCCCTACGTCACATTGTAATTTGGTTTTTCTTTTTCTATTTGACATTAATATTAAAATCAAGAGAGATTAGTGAATTTCTTTTTCAAACTTTGAAAAAGTTGAAAGTCCATAAATCTCAATATTATATGTGTGTTTGATATTTAATTCCCTTCTTACATGAATTCTTTTATTTTCGTATTTTGGAGATCTCTGAATGTAAAATGGCAAAACTAGTAGTACACTGATTGTGATGGCTTCCAGGGTACCTCTTTTTCATGTACTAATCTCCTTTTCTTGATGTTTTATCCTTTCGCCCTATGATTTTGTGAACAAAAGAGGACCATAAATTGACTGTCGAGGCTTCACAGTTCAGTCCCGATGATGAAGAACCAAATGGCATTTCCTTGGGGGTAAGAGCACGGTGATCATATTCTCCGGTTGGCCCGGTCCTAGCTTGTGGGCCTTTCGGCACTTAGTGCTCGTGGAGTGGATCATGAACGCCAAGCTCGTAAGACCCGGCGTCAGCATCGTCGCAGCTAGCCTCATGCGGACAAAATGATGTACGTGGTTCGTATCGCAGTAGCCTACATGGTGATGCTTGCCGTCATGTCCCTTGTAGTCCTCGCAGGACATGTTGCTGGGTTCTCGTTCTTCAGTAGTCAGGCATTTAGGAATAAGAGGCGGATGATGGATTATCAAGAACCATCCGATCTCCCTCCACTGAACTGCTGACGGTCATTAGAATTGAATTCGCGACCATCATTTACACACTTCAGTTTAGTATAGAATGCCCGTGTTCAAAAGCGTGGTATAATTTTCTGACATTAGTTGTGGGATTTTTGTAAATGACGCCAACCAGATGAACCTTTCTACGATGAAATCTACAATGCATGAAATAGCCATCAACCATATGAACGAACTGGAGCTCAGTAGTGCCAGATCAAATAGCCTCATGGAGAAAGGAAATTTATTGATTGCGAATAGGAATAGTGTGTCGCCTAAATCAGCCCAGCCGCAGCTTTCGAACCAAAATGATCTTCAGAATTTGGCCGAAGGCCCTTTTGGTAAAGACCCTTAACAACGACTGAGAATCGATGACTAACAAGGTACTGCGCCGGTACCATGTGTAATAGCTCAATCTATTCCAGATCAGGCAAACCAGAGAGCAAATGCTGCAAAGCTCATCAAAGATTATTCATATTCAAGCGCCACACTGTGGCCCGACCAAAATACAATATAACATCAAAAACAGAGACGACACATTGATTACACCGTCGCACAAACACCTACAACCTCTTGCATGACACATTAACGAAAGAAAAATATCCAAAATTATACTTGTTCACAAGAAAGCCGGACATTATAGGACGTGAACCGCTCGTTCCTGCAACCACAAGAAGTTGAGTTCAACCAGAGATCTCGATGGGCTGGACCTCAGGCTTCTTCTCCTCCACCTTGGGAACAGTGACGGTGAGCACTCCGTTGTCCATGGCGGCCTTGACCTGATCCATCTTCGCATTCTCGGGCAACCTGAACCTCCTCATGAACTTCCCGCTGCTCCTCTCCACTCGGTGCCACGTGTCGTTCTTGTCCTCCTTCTCCACGTTCCTCTCGCCGCTTATCTGGAGTATCCGGTCGTCTTCGATCTCCACCTTGACTTCCTCTTTCTTGAGCCCAGGGAGATCCGCCTTGAACACGTGGGCTTCCGGGGTCTCCTTCCAGTCGATCCTCGTGTTGACGAAAGCGGTGTTTTCCCGGAGAGTTTGAGGGAAATTAGGGGCGGAAAGGGATGAGGAAGGGAAAGGGAAGTCCTTGAAGGGGTCCCAGAGGTCGGGAGAGAAAGGGTCGAAGACGTTGCTGCGACGGCCGCCGAACCAGCTTGGGATGAGCGACATTGTATCTGTTTCTTCTGCTGCTGTTGGATCTCTTGCTAACGCTTTCCTTTTCTTGAAGTGGGGAAGAGAGGTGGGACGTGCCTGGTATTTATAGGAGAGGAGAAGAAGAGCTAAGGATCGAACTACAGTGGAAGTTTCTGTAAAGATGGAGAACCATCTGGTGTGGCCCAGAGCTCTCTCCAAGCCGGCCCCTACTCTCGCGAAACTTCTGGTCCGAACGTCTGGAGATGTCTCCAGACAGGCCCATAACTATTGCTTTGACCAGTTTGGAAAATGGCTTAACACAATATCAGAAGCTATCAGCGCTATGGTGGAAAAGAAGACGAACAGTCGTTTTAGAAAAAGGAATTTCGCTGATTTGGAAATATAAAAAATCGAATGAAAGTATTCATAGAAAGATTAGCGAATTTCCTTTTCAAACTTTGGAAAAGTTGAAAGTCCATAAATCTCAATATTATACGTGTGTTCCATACTTAATTTCCTTCTTACATGAATTCTTAAATATACAATGTATATCATCTTTTATCAATATCTACCGTCTTAAAAATGCAGTTCA